TCCCTCTCCCTCCCATTAACACCCTCCCCTTAACACCCCTCCCCCCTCTCCTCAATACCCCTTCCCCCTTTCCCTCTCATTAACATCCCTTCCCCCCTCTCACTCCCATCAACACCCTTCCCCCCTCTCCCTCCCCTTAACACCCCCTCCCCTCCCTCCCCTTACACCCCCTCCCCCCTCCCCTCCTACTACAGCCCCCGCCACTAACAGCAGCTTGATGTCCTACAGGTGAACAGGCCCCTGCAGGATGCCGGCGCCCCCCTCCACGGAGAACCTGCACTCCCGGGGTCCTCCTCACGCTCTCTCCGTTGAAGTGTCTCCCCCCGAGGAGTACTTCCGCGGCGTGTCACCTCTCTGTCGGAAGATGCTGGATGACATGACAGCCGTCCGGGAGAAATGGGGGGACACGTGGAACGAACTCTCGTATCAACAGCAATGTCGCGTCATCGATCAGGCTATGGTGGACGAGGTGGGGGAGCTCCCTTGAGACTGTAGATCGTCTTTGGTTTTTGTTGTTTTGTTTTTGTATTTTTTTTTTTTTTTTTTGTAGTTTGTATTGAAGGCGTTGTTGATTGCTTTTTTTTCGTTTTTTTCTCTCTCTTTCTTTGTGTTCGAAATGTTGTCGATTGTAATTATTTTTTCTTTTTTTTTTTTTTTTTGTGTTCGGTGTCGATTTGTAATTATTTTTCTTCTTTTTTTTCTTTTCTTATTTTTGTGTCCAAGGCGTTGTCGATTGTAATTATTTATTCTCTTCTTCATCTTTTTCTATTCTGTTTTTTATTGCCGATTTTCTCCCCCAAATTTTGGTCGTCTGTTCGGATGATGGGTTTCGGACGGAGGTCTGTCTCTCTCGCTCCCTGTCTCTCTTTTGTTGGACTTTCTGGCTTCGTTCTCCGGTATTGTTGTATCTCCCATTGTCCAAATCGGAATGTGTATTTAGTGCTCTACCCTAAACACCGCCCTTCCCATTTAGTGGCCTTTTCCCTTTTTTTTGTAGGAGATCCACCTGTGCTTTCTATAATATTTTCAACATCCTCCCAAATCCCTGGGTTTGCACACACTATCCCTTTCGACTTGATGACTTCCAAATGAATTCATTAATAAAAAAAAATAATAATAAAGGAATATTAACTTGACATCTACCCATGTACTTTGAAATATTTCCTAATATACTCCCCAAATACCTGGGTTTGCACACACTATCCCTTTCGACATAATGACTTCCAAGTGAATTCATCTTTCATAAAAATAAAGGAATATTAACTTGACATGCACTACTTTACTCTGAAATATTCCCTAACATCCTCCTCAAATACCTTACACATACTATCCCTTTCGACTTAATTACTTCCAAATGAATTCATCTTTCATAAAAATACAGGAATATTAACTTGACATCCACAACTTTAAATATTTCCTAACATCCTCCCCAAATACCTGGGTTTATATACACGATCCCTTTCGCATCTGAACCTGTCCGTCCTCACAAAGAATGTATCGACCGAAGCTGCCGTGTCTCCAATAGACTTACACTCGCGATCCCATCTCATGACGTGGGGAGATCGTCGAAATGTGCACCTCCTTCCCTCCTCCTCTGACGAATCACAGCAACAAGAGCGCAATAAGCAAGAGTGCGAGAGTAAAAAAAAAAAAAAAAAAGCACAAACATTCAAAAGCACAAACAAATGCTCAAACACAAGAGGCCCATTCGAAAATCGAAAAAAAAGAACGCGAGTAAATACACAAACACACGATAGCTGCCTGTCTGTACAAACACAAGACCTTGTAAAAGACCTTGTGGCTTCCCCTACCCCCCCCCCTCCCAGCCCCGCCATAACTGCCCAACGAGAATGCAAAGGACAACGACCCTAAAATCTCTTAAGTGAATTTCTTCAGTTGTTTACGATACCAGACTCGCAAATTTATCGGAGAAAATAACAGAACAAAAAAAAAAGGTATCACCCTTGTCACACTGCATATTGATTTTAAGAATAGAAATGAGGTGAACAAACGCATTGCATTCATAAATGTGTTCACTCATCCTCGATCTTAAGGACTCTACTGTACTGAATTGTATGTTTATTTAGATTATAGCAGTGACTCTGTTTCTCAACTGCAACTTTTATCATCTCAACCTAACACTAACCAGTAAAAAAATAAAGAATTTAATATATATGCATAAAAATACATCTAAAATTAGCAATCATAAATCCATCAAACAGTTTTAATCTTCTGAACTCGTTTTATATATCTATATATATATATATATATATATATATATATATATATATATATATATATATATATACATAAGCGTTTTTAACCCCCCCACCCCCATAAAAATCATGAAAAGAAACTGATACATGAATGCGCCAGTGCAGTGAATTAAAAATGGCTCTGCTTTGAATTTTGCATGGAATGTTGCTGACCCGAGTGTGTGGGATGCTTTTGTGCTTGCAAGACCTCGATTTAGGTTTGTTGATCGTCGAACATGGACGCTATTTTCACTTTCTGTTCTTGGTTATTTTATGTGATGTTTCTTTAATGTTTGTTCGAAGGCGACCTGCATCTCGACACAAATATATGTAGATTGCTGAAACATACATTTAAATTATGCTATCTTTGACTTAATATCGCATTAGTTAGGTGCAAAATAAAATCACAATACCTTATGATGAGATTATATTATAAACTGACCATATATATCAACCACAACCCATATAAACAAACATCAACCCTAAACTAACCAAACCCCAGACACCTCACACACCCTAACAACCAAACCACCCACCTTATCATCCCTTTCAAAATTCATCCTTCTCATATCCTTTTTAATCCCATAAAAGGACAAATAACATCCTATTTCCACCTTAATCCCATAAAAGGACAGATAACATCCCTTTTCCACCTTAATCCCATAAAAAGGACAATAAAAATCCCTTTTCCAGGCAACAGTCCGAAGGTACGAGGCCGGGGAGCACCGAGGGGCCTGCGAGGAGCCCGAGTGCGAATACTTCCCGAAGCTGAAACTCCCCACCGGACAGAAGGTCGTTTGCGACGAGAACCTCACCGCCAGAGGATTCGTGAGTCCAGACGATTCTGCGCGCATGGAGTGATACATACACACATACATACATATTTATTTGCGAATGGTTGTATGTGTGTGTGTGTGTGTGTGTGTGTGTGTGTGTGTGTGTGTGTGTGTGTGTGTGTGTGTGTGTGTGTGTGTGTGTGTGTGTGTGTGTGTGTGCGTGCGTGTGGTGTGTATGAGAGAGAGAGAGAGAGAGAGAGAGAGAGAGAGAGAGAGAGAGAGAGAGAGAGAGAGAGAGAGAGAGAGAGAGAGAGAGAGAGAGACAGACAGACAGACAGACAGACAGACAGACAGACAGACAGAAAGAGAGAGAGATGGGTTGGGTTTTCTAACCTTTCATCCAAGCCATTTCCAAGAAGTTCGCGTTTATAAGCAACGAATCGGACACTCAGGCAAGCATTACAAAGTTCGAATATTTACCCTTAATCGATTTTATGTAACTTACTCAGATAATAATAGAAAAAAAAAACGAAAACCAAATAATCTATGAGCTATGTGGAATGATGAAGAATCTATATATATAAAAGATCTGGGTCAGAACCATCTAGAACATTGCTCCATTTTCTGTTGTCGGTTCTGGATCACATGTGTCATCATCAATAAAGAGGAGGGCTTGGAATGAAGAATGGGAGAGGGAGGGAGGGAGGGAGAGGTGAGAGTGGGGAGGAGAGAGAGAGGAGGGAGAGAGAGAGAAGTGAGGGAGAGAGAAGAGAGAGAGAGAGAGGGAGGGAATGAGAGAGAGAGAGAGAAGTGAGGGAGAGAGGGAGGAATGAGAGAGAGAGAGAGAGCAGCAATATGCTTGTAAACACCACAATATATATATATATATATATATATATATATATATATGTATATATATATGTGTGTGTGTGTGTGTGTGTGTGTGTGTGTGTGTTGTGTGTGTGTGTGTGTGTTGTGTGTGTGTGTGTGTGTGTGTATATATATATATATATATATTATATATATATATATATATGTATATATTTTTTCCTTTTTTTCTTTACATAATTAACTCTAGAATCAGATAGATTACAAAAGAATCTGAAGCCCGGCCCTTGCGTTCTCCAACCCGCTTCATCCTTTCCAGTCCTGCAGCTGCGCGATGAGCACTCGGCCCCCTTCTCCTGGCACACGCGCTCGCAGATGGATCTGACGCTCGACACGCCCCCGGCCACGCCCACGCACCCCAGCACCCCGACGGAGCCCCCGCCCACCACCGTCGAGGGCCAGGGGCGCGTGATCCCGGGCGGGCGCGCCGTTTACACCGCCCGCCCGGTGTCCCTGCCGCGGCCGCCGAGGTTCCGCTGGCACTACGACCCGCCGGGCAGCCCCGACCCGCCGTCCGTGGTGGTGGCGGCGCCGCGCTCGGCCACGCTGCCCTCCAACCTCAACCGCGAGGCCCGCCGCGCCAACACCTCCAAGTACATGCTTATCCGCAACAAGGCGGACGGCGGCGAGGGCGGCGGCGGCATCCTGGCCAAGATCCGCGGCGCCGTCGCGGCCCTCACCGCCACCTGCCTCCCCCTGAAGGCCACCTCGGGCCAGAACTCCCTCCTCTCGCTCTACAACGCCCCGAAGGAGGGCGGGGAGCCCGAGCTGCGCCCGCCACACGTGCGCGTGCAGGCGACGGAGCCGAAGGACCCCCAAGCGCCCTCGGGCCAGGTGCCGGGGCCCGCCGACGCGAACGGCAACCCCGGGGGCTTCGCCAACAACCCGCTGTCCGACCTGGCGTCCGACCCGGCGCTCGTCGGCTACTACTGCACGCTCCCCGACGAAGACGACGACGACGCCCCCTACACGCCGCGCGCCGCCCTCCTGCCCGAGAGAACCAAGGTCACCGTGAACACGCCCGTCACGCCCGAGCTCGAGGCCTCCTACAGACAGATTCCCGACGGGGCCCCGGCGAGGCTCTCGTCCGAGGGCCCCTCGACGGAGACCATCTCCTCGGCCTTCACGTCGCCCCTCTCGGCCTGCCTGCCCACGCCGGTCCCGACGCCCACGGCCTGCGAGACGGCGAGGCCCGCCCTTGCCGAGGGCGTCCCTGCCACGCCAGCCGCCGCCCCGACCCCGCCGCCGTCGCAGGCCCCGTCGCAGGAGCCCGCCTGCGTCCTGCGGCGTCCTCGGGAGAAGAACCCTTCGCCAGAGCTGAGCGAGAAGGAGCACGACCTCCTGGAGGAGTTCAACATCAACCTCGAGCTCAGCGCGTCGGAGAAGCGTGAGGTGAGTGAGCTTCTCTTGCTGGAGTTTTATCGAACTGTTCTGATGGCTTCCACGCACATGCTCTTGAATCCAAAGCACCATATTTTTGGAAACTGTTTACTTTGTAAATTTTCCTCTGACAATTCGTTACTCAGCCAGCCCCAATTCTACAGCTCTTGGTTTTACAATTAGAGTAAAGTATTTGAACAATTGACTTTATCTTTTCACAAATAATCATAAACATAAAAGTATATATATATTTGTACGAAAAGGACTCCCAAACCTTACCATTCCTCGTCAACTCCTTTCCTCCAACACAGTTAACTTTCTTTCCTTTTTTCCAAACCATATAAATCGTCATATTCCTTACAGAATAGTTTTTTTCAACCCTTTTCCCCTTTTCTCAACAAAATATTCTCTCCCTTATTCACCAACAACACCAATCACCACTTTATTCTTACCCAAATATGCTTTCTTCCAGAGCAATATTCCGAAAACCGGCTTCGACTTCTTGGACAACTGGTAAACATGGCGACCGCGGGAGAAAAAAAAATGGCGCCGGCTAAGGAGGTTGCACTCAACACACAGGATAACACTCGTGCCCTACTAAACTCTTCAGCACTGTATTTAGATTATATATCCTAATACTACGTCTTGTGCTCGATGTGTGTGTGTGTGTGTGTGTGTGTGTGTGTGTGTGTGTGTGTGTGTGTGTGTGTGTGTGTGTGTGTGTGTGTGTGTGTGTGTGTGTGTGTGTGTGTGACTACATTCGAAGGAAAATGGGGCACAGAATCAAAATGCACCTCGTGTCTACATCTGTATTTTGATTGGTTAGAACCGATGCATTGAAACCTGTAAAACGGACGAAATGTTTAAAAAGAGAAACATTATGCTCATGAAGTGCCCTATTTTTGACCAGGCATTAAACATTGGACCACTTTTTTATACTCATTAAACTAAGATTAGTAAAAGTTTTTTTTATCGCAGGGTTATGACTAGTAAGATTTGCTCACATATTTTTTAAGAGTAAAAAAAAATAAAGTCATTTCAGTCCGAAATCAAAGGAAAACGAAACGAAATTTGCCTAGTAGAAAAAAGGGAAGACATTTTGCATCCATCGAAAGTTTCCAAATTTAAGACTGCATCACACGTTTTAGATTTTCCCTTATTTGGTTATGAGTGGTGCTAAAAGTGGATATCAATTGCCTTGCACACCTTGGCGAATGAGTGATATGAAATTATACTTATGTAGGAATTGTGTGTTTTCTATTGGCCGTTGAGACTGTAGCATGTATGTATGTCTGTGTGCATGTGTGTGTTCCTTACTGTAGCTGTATATCTTTTGTACACAATGCAGGAAGTAGAACCGTGCAGTTAGGTACTTTATAATATAATGATAAAACTAATAATCACTGGAAATACATTCTCACTCATACACGAGATTTTGTGTTTGTCTGTTTGTTTTGTTATATCCTTTGCTGATATGGTTTTGCAACTCGTACCATGACAGTACTATACCCTCAAATATATATATGTAGGAAAATGTATTTGTACCGATTTTAGGTAAGGAATAAAACCATGAAGAGCTTTGATTTTTTATACTGACTTCAAAATGCAAAAAATCATAAGCAATGTTACACCAAGTTTTTATGTAAATGTTGAGAAGTAATTTGGAGACAAGATTGCAACCTCACCACAAAATAAATGACCAAAATTCTTAGTATTTTAATGAACTGGAGAAATGTTTACTTTTAACATCTGAGGAGCGCAGGTAATTGTCCAACCAACTCCGATGACATTTATAGTATTGTCTTGGAATCTCAAGTAAAATTTGGCAAATATTCATGTTAGTGGAGAAAAAAACAGCCTTCAGTGGCAAATCCAAAATGTTTCAGAAAGGAGGAGGAGGGTGAATATGTAATGAGAGCGAAGTACTTAGTAAGACCATGTTATTTTAACGCATTTAAGATCAAAATGTGGAGTTTCGTTGTTTCAGTAATAATGAACATTAATGATACTAAAACATAAACCACAGGTATATATGGCCATGAAATAATACTGGCTGATGTTCTATTTTCACTTTTAGTACAACCAAATCAACATTATTGTATTTTTCTATAATTTGTATTACATTAGTTTAGGAAAGGAATTCACCCTGGATTCGCCACTGCAGTTCTGAAAATATTGTTATCAAAGCTCTAGAAAAAAAACATCAATAACCCAATTTCTAGGACATGAAAAAGCAGTTTAATAGTTTCCTGGTGTTTCGAGTCAATAGTTTAAGCACCAAATATATCACTATTCAATCGATGTTTCTTGTGAGTGCTTCTGAGTGTTAACGAAATCAATATACGAAGGAAAAAGAAAGATGTAGAAATATGAATATGGTTTTTGGTTTATCAGAATTGCATATTTCAAAAATGTCCTTCAGCACTCCTTGACAGATAATATTCACTACAAATCAGGTATATAATTTTATCTATTATATAAATAAATATGTATTCAGGTGGGCCCACATATGATGTCTGAAAAGTGATAATAATAACAATAATGAATAAAATCAGAGAAAATCAATTAAAGAAAGAAAATTTAATAATAAATATTACACACCTGATTTTGAATGCCGTAGTTGGTGATTAGTGGCTACAGTCTGATGATTATAATATTTGATTTAATTTAATTAAGCTTTAATCTAATTTAATTCGACTTTAATTTAATACAAGTTAAACTGATGACTATAATCTTTAAACAGAAAAGAGATGGACTCTCCTAACTAAACTTTGAAACGCCAAAAATGATACTTTATATTATTTCAACTTATTTATTTTGGTTAATCCTGTTTAACTTGATACTTGCGTGCGTTCAGATAAGTAATTGAATTCCTTATTTAGTCATATTTCTTTATGAAAGCTTAAAAAATATAAGGGACCCTCTGGGGGTGCCTCAAGCCCCCAGATGTCTAACTACACCCTTGTGTATGTGTATATATATATATATATATATATATATATATATATATATTATATTATATGTATATATATGTATATGTATATGTATATATATGTATATGTATATGTATGTATATGTATATATGTATATATGTATATGTATATATGTATATATGTGTATATGTATATGTATATGTATGTACGTACATACGTACATACGTACATACGTACATACATACATACATACATACATACATACATACATACATACATACATACATACATACATACATACATACATACATACATATACATACATACATACATATACATATATACATACATACATACATATATATATGAACATACAGATATACTTTTTACTCCTTTCGTTCCATCTTTATTACAGAGAATACCAGTACCAATAGATGTTTTATTTCAGTTGTGATGTGCTGTGCATTGTAAAAAGTATGACTAAAGCCTTTTTGCACAATATTGCATCTTAATAAAATAATACCCGAGGTTTCTCTTCTGAACAAATGTAACCTCATCTTCCATCTTTAAGAATCAAAAGACTTCTCGAAGACTACAAATAATGTATTCCATATAGCTGTGAAGTCGCATAACTTTCACCAGGAACCTCATTTTACAGTAGCATTCAGTTTTGTTATAAAAAATACGTTTACCTGTTCCACAAGTCATCTATCCTTAAGGTAAGGGTACAGGTTTATCAAATTTATGAATCATTTTGTAGTTCTTATGCCATTACAATAAGCCTATGTGTTCCTTGCATTCGGAAAATTGTTCTTAATATGTCAAGAAGTTATTTGCCATTGATATCAGGTACTGCTCAGGGTAATATTTATATGGTCATTTGCAGTCTAGATTACTAGAGATAAAAAATATAATTTCTGGAAAGCTTTTTTTTTATCAAAATAGGTTAAGAATACAATCAAAAAGTGATAATAATGTTAATGATCAACTAAGCTATGCTATACAATGAGGTTCTACAGTAGTAGCAAAATTTCACTTTTCCTTTGTTTTTTCTTTTCTTTATATATGCTTAGTGCCACTGAAGAGATGTGCAATACTGGAATTTCTGTTTCCAAGATAATCCATTACTTTTCAAATTTTCATTGTCATGATATTTACCAGTTTCTTAAATTATGTGTGGTTTACTATCTTAATGTCTTTCATCTAAAAAAAAAAAAATCCCATAAAATGAAACCTACCATTAGTGAAATTCTTGCTCTAGTCCAACCCACTCTCAACGTCATTTTATACGCGGTCTCAGAAAAGCAGTTTCAATGGTGTCCTCCTTACAGACATGCACCAAAATAATGTTTCAAATGCTAAACATACCCAACACTTGTACTTTGAAAATGTGATGCATAAAAAATGATCCCGGTGTTTTAGTCTTGTTCCTATGGTAATGGAGATTTTCAATGTGCAATTGTTTTGTCACTGAATATGTGTCTCCACTCTAGTTAAATAAAGATATCTGCAAGTATCTCTTTTCATTGCTCTCTATTTGTTTATGTAAATATCTTAATGTCCAGTTTTGTCAGTTCAAAGATCTATGGTATACATGTTCTGCTATCATCTATAAATCATACTTTAAGATCAGAAACACTGATAACTTTGAAGAGATAAATATAAAGAATTATATACTCATGTCCGCTACTGATAACAGATGGCAATACACTAATATCACTGATATTATATAGTGTGAGTAGATAGGCTAATATGGAAGATATAAACAAACATTACAATAGTAAAGTAATAACCAGTGTTTCATGGAAATATACTGACTTTGTTGTTTTCTAAATATTCTTTTGGTAGTTCTAAATCCATACGTTTCCTCCAAGAACCTGAAAGCAACAGCACACAATAAACTCTTGCTGAATCATATCAGAACCCACGTTAAAAAGGGATAAACACAAGTAAGGAAACAAAGCAGTAAAATATATTTAACCTTTTATTTCTTTATATAGACAGGTTTATTACAAAACCAATTATCAAACCAAGCAGCTACCAGAAGTAGCTTGTATTCAGCTATACTGCAAGTTTATACTACGCGTTTAAAACATGCTAAAAAGTATATTTGTCAATAAAATACAACCTTCATGTGAGTGATGTCACCACATCACAGGCAACACTTGAATCCCTCCGGCAATTACTCTACATTGCCCTTAGGAATGCAATGATCATTAGATTGAGTACAACAAGAAAAAGATTCATAACAAATATAAAAAAGGAAAACGAAAAAAAGAAAGACACCAGTAAACAGGTGGCCAATGTGAAGAGACACATTTAAAGATGGGTTAATCAAATCATTACATCTTGTCTTGCTTTGTATTCTGTCTATCAACGTTCATTTCTTCTCTGGATGGAATAGTGTTACAATGACTACATAACTTAGTTTCAACATTGGAGAATACTATTAGGCATACTATTCAGCATACAGAAAACAACAATAACAAAGTTTGAGTGCAAGGAGGTATTTTGAAAGAAATCTAAACACTTCTAAAAGACCATTAAAAAGAAAAGAATATCATGATGTGAAGACCATTTGTTTATATTGTGAGCAATTTCCATGTCAAACAGTTATATCATTTACTTGTTACCTAATGAAGCAAGTGACTGATGGAATAATAAAAGTAAATACTTGATATACTAAAATCATGCAGGATAATATCAAAAAGAAAATGTAACTTGCCACAAGAGGCGGTAAATAACTTTGATATCTTAAAAAAATGTTACTTGCTTGTGGGTCACGTTACCACAATACATCAAAAATGGGTAATTAATCTTATTCTTACATGGCTATCACATCATATGTAACTGTGGGCCCAAGAGTATCTTGATTTGGATGGGAAAATATAAGTGTGATATAAGTGAAAACACTATTACATTATTATCCTTGAAAAATAGCAACTATCTTGAGGGAAAGCTGAAAACATGTGGTGTTTTATGTTTTTCATCCTATGGTAACCTTAAACACTTGAAAATCATACATATAAAATGTGCTGACATCCAACACACTTTTCATCTTATGACGGTGTAAAATAAGGACCTATTTCATACCAAATCAATACATCAGAGTACAAAATTCACTTATTTACATTTGTTTGTATGAGGTGGGAGGTTATGTCTACATGTTTTCAAGTGCATGTGTAAACATATGTTTATGCATGTACATATATGCAAGTGTTTGTTATATATAAATACATATAATTATACGTGGAATTTTTGAGATAATACGTCATTGTTACTCTATATTTCTGGTCTTCACCTCTGCCCTTCTGATTAAGAAAACAAATTAGAACAGGAATACATTTCTGAAAATGTCTGAACTCTCATATTATTATGCTCAATAACTCCCACACAAGCAAATGGGAGCCTTGAAAAACTAAGCTTGTATTATATGTACCGGCTTCTTGCCCTTTCGGAAACACAATTTCAAATTCAACTTTCCTCTTTCTCTTCATCACTTGTAGAGGTGGACTAGACATTTCTATGAAGGAATCATAATCATAATCAGACTATTATTAACTATGTTCCACTCATTGACTATGCCAGACCAAACTTGGTAGTACCATCACATGATCAGTTCTTTACACCCACCAGTTGTTTTACAACTTCATGACCACAAATCAACAATATATATAAACCTAGTTCCCAAGTTTAGTGTTTTAAATTAGCCTCCACAGTGTCTCATTACAAAGAAAAAAAAAAAAGGAAAATAAGTGATACACATCTGCAGGTGTTGAAGACAGATTACTGAAGCCATTATGGCTTATAAATGAACCATTCATATTGACAAATGTAGAAAAGGTATGAGAATGGATATCTTCACAATACAAGAGGTGTTTAACAGATTTCAAATATATTGTCAGAAATACATGTACTTCTAGCCAAGATATATTTGAAACCAATTCAATACATCTCTTGTATGGTGAAGATATTCACTCTCATTCATACCTTTTCTACAGTTTATAAACAAGTTCTTAATCAACTGCAGAATTCACACCTAATTTTCACTATCTGATAACCCTACACTTAATAAACCACGGACTATAACTCACCTGCTCATGATCCCGGTCACACTGTAACAATTATTGCTCTGTAACGCAAGGTTTCTTATTGTTTGGGTGGAGGACGTCCATAGCATCAGAATCATTTGGGAAAAAAGATTATCTGGATGCATATGAAAATACTACCTCTAAACAAACCTAATTCATACAAAATCTGTTGAAAGA